AAAGAAATACAGAGGCACCTGCATCTCAGTCAAGTGTAAATCTAGCCACAATTAAGGAGGTAGAAAAAAGTGGACATTCCTCTCATTGTAATCTTTCAACAGCACAGCAACACAAGAGTGGTTAACTCAATAAATCTTTGCAAAATCCAATGTCCTGGAGAGTTTTTCTAATTTTTGTTTTGTTTTGTTTTTTAGTGGTTTCATAGTTTGGGGTCTTAGATTTAAGTCTTTAATCCATTTGGATTTGATTAATGCATATGATATATGATAATATATGGGGATCTAATTTCATTCTTCTGCATATAGATGTCCGGTTTTCCAAGCAATATTTATTGAAGAGACTATCCTTATCCCAGGGTATGCTATTGGCACCTTTGTCAAAAATTAGTTCACTGTAGATGTATAAATTTATTTCTGGATCTCTATTTTGTTTTATTTTGTGTATGCATCTATTTTTATGCCAGTACCAGGCTGTTTTGGTTACTATACTTTAATACCAATTCTGTAGTATAATTTGAAGTCAGGTAATGTGATTTCTCCAGTTCTGTTCTTTTGCTCAGAGTGGATTTGGGTATTCTGGGTCTTTTTTGGTCCCATATACATTTTCAGTGGTTTTTCTACTTCTGTGAAGAATGCCATTGGTATTTTGATTGGGATTGCATTGGATCTTTAGATTGCTTTGTGTAGTATGGACATTTTAAAAATATTGACTTTAAAAGGTTAATAAAATATAAACTTTTAGTTAGACTAAGAAGAAAGGGAGAAGATTCAAATAAATAAAATCAGAAATGAAAGAGAAGACATTAGAGCTGATACCACAGAAATAAAAAAGGATTATAAGAGACTGTTACAATCAAATATACAGCAACTAACTGGATAAGCTGGAAGAAATGGATAAACTCGTAGAAACATACAATTTACCAAGACAGAATCATGAAGAAATACAGCATATGAACATACTTATAACTAGAAAAGTTATTTAATCAGTAATTAAGAACTTTCCAACAAGAAAATCCCCAAACCATATAGTTTCACTGGTGAATTCTATAAAATATATGAAGAATTAAAGCCAGTCCTTCTCAAGCTCTTCCAAAAAAATTGAAGAGAAGTGAATGGTTCTAACTTTATTTTAATGAGGCCAATATTATGCTAATATCAAAGACAAAGACACTTCAAGAAAATAAAACTACAGGTCAATATTCCTAATGAACATAGACATACAAATTCTTAACAAAATGCCAAAAAAACAGAATTCAATAGAAAATTTTTAGAAAACATACACCATTACCCAACAGGATTCACCCCTATGATGCAGAATCAGTTAATGTGATATACTACTTTAAAAAAATAAAGGAGAAAAATTACATGATCATCTCTATAAATGCAGAAAAGCATTTGACAAAATTCAATGTTCTTTCATGATAAAAATTCTCAACAAATTAGGTATAGAAGGAACTTACCTCAACACAGTAAAGGCCATATATGAAAGGTCCACAGGTTAACACGATATTCACAGGTGAAAAGCAGAAGGCATTTTCGCTAAGATCAGGAACAAGACAAGGATGTCCATTCTTGTCACTTCTATTCAACATAATACTGGAAGCTATTGCCAGAACTATTATTCAAAAAAAAAAAAAAGAACTAAAAGAGATTTCAACTGAAAAATAAGTATTCTTTGCAGAAGACACACTCTTATATATAGAAAACCTTAAATATGCTACAAAAAACTTTTAGTACAAATAAATAAATTTTGTAAAGCTGAAGAATAAAATATCAGTTATGATTATATATACTAATGAATTATCCAAACATGAAATTTAAAAAAATAAAACAATTGTATTCACAGTAGTTTGGAAAAAAATAAAATACTTCAGAGTAAACTCAAGCAAGGAGATGAAAGACTTTTCACTGAAAAGTGCAAAACACTGATGACAGAAATATAAAGAGCCAGAAATAAATAGAGACATCTGTTCATGGATTAAAATAATTAATACTGTCAAATGTTCATACTAGCCAAAATAATCTACAGATTTGATGCAATGCCTATCAAAATTTCAATGACATTTTTTACAATTTTTTTTTTTTTTTTATAAGATGTATGTAGAACCACAAAGACACCAAAAGGCCAAATCAATCTTGGGAAATAAAAATGTCTTAGTCGAATTTGGCTGCTAACACGAAAATGCCACACGCCTGGTAGCTTATAAACATAATTTATTTCTTATATTCTGGAGATTAGAAAGTATTTATCAAAATGCTGTCAGCTTTGATGTCTAGGTGTCTGGTGAAGACCCAGGTCCTGTTTCATGGATGACTGTCTTCTCAATGTATTCTCACTTGGCAGCAGGGGTCAGGAAGACTTCTGGGGTCCCTTTTAAAAGGGCACTAATCCTATTCACAAGAGCTCTTGTATTGTGGATTAGGTTTGAATTTATGCATTTTGGGGGAACATATTTAGTCTATAGTATTCTATCTCTGGTACCTCAATATTAATGTTCTTCTCACATGAAAAATACATTAATTCCATTCCAACAACCCCAAAAGTCTTAACTCGTTGCAGCACCAACTTCAAAAAGTCCAAAATCTCTTCCAAACATCATTTAAACCACGTATGGATGAGACTCAAGGTAGAATGTTTCTTAAGGCAAGTCTCTCTACATGTGAATCAGCAAACCCAGACAAGTTACATACTTCCAAAATGCACTTGTGGGATAGCCATAGTATAGACATTCTTATTGCAAAAAGGATAAATACGGGGAAAAAAGTTAGTAATAGGTCTCATGTAAGTTCAAAAACAAATGAGGCAAATGATATTAAATCTTAAAGCTACTTTCATGACTTGCCTGGGCACCACTATAATGGGAATTCTTTGTGATGGCCCCAATCCCTTATATCTAGATGGACACAGCAATGCCCCCAACCACAACTCTGCTGGGTGCACCCCATGCCACCGTTTTCTGTGAGCTGGCAGTGACAGCACTGCACAGATACTGCCAAAGTTTCCTGTTTGTGCTCTCCAGAGGAGCAGCTACCAGGGCCCATCCCATACTGAGACCCATCAGAGCCCCACCTGGGGCAGGAGAGAAACTTTCAGCTGAGGTACGGGGAGTAGAGCCCTGTGATATCAGGAAGTGTGGAACAACACAGACTGAGGGCAGGCAGTTGCTGTTGGCCCCTACTTTGAAACTGCTCTGCCTCCAGGTTTTTGCACTCTGTGATAAGGGGGGCAGCCCTGATGATCTCTCTGTTCCCTTCCTAGTCATTCTTTGATTGTCTTGGGGATGAGCTCCTGGTTTCTGTTGAGAAGGGTAATCCACACTCATCTCCTTATCAAGCAATTGCTTACTTACTCCTTAGTATTCTCTGGCTTCTCATTCTTTTCAATATAAATATACTGGCTTCTCATTCTTTTCAATATAAACAGGCTGAGAATTCTGCCTCCTTTGTGATTAGCAATTCTATATATTTAAGTCATTTTCTCTTCTTATGTTTTACTATCAGCAGTCAGGGGAAACCAAAATGAACCTTCAACATTTTGCTTAGAAATAGTGTCACCTCAATATCCAGTTTTATGGTTCACAAGTTGGACCTTCAACAAAACACTAGCAAACAAAATTCAGCCAAATTCCTTGTCACTTTATAATAATGATGGCCTTTCCTCTACCATTCAATAACATACTTCTTATATTCATCTGAGACCTCATTAGAATGGCCTTTACTGTCCATAGTTCTATCAACAACCTAATAATCTCCCAAAGGCCTCACCTTTACCTACCATTTCATTGGGCACCAGGCTTCAACATATAAATTTTTAGGAGAAACAAACATTGTCTGTAGCAAAGAGAAAAGTTGGAGGCATTACACATCCAGATTTCAAGGTTTATTACATAGCTGAATTAGTTAAAATTACAGGTTTTCAGCTGGGCATAGTGGCTCACGCTTGTAATCCCAGCGTTTTCGGAGGCTGAGGCAAGTGGATCACAAGGTCAGGAGTTCCAGACCACCCTGGCCAACATAGTGAAACCCCACCTCTACTAAAAATACAAAAATTAGCTGGGTGTGGGGGCACGCACCTATAGTCCTAGCTACTCGGGAGGCTGAAGGAGGAGAACCGCTTGAATGCAGGAGGCAGAGGTTGCAGTAAGCCAAGATCACACCACTGCACTCCAGCTTGGGCGACAGAATGAGATTCCGTCTCAAAAAAAGAAAAAAAAAATTACAAGTTTCTGCAAAAAAGACAGACTTACAGACCAATAGAATAGAGTAGATAGCTGAAAAAATCATATATATATAGTATATATATTAAACTGACATTCAACAACACTTCTAAGGATATACAGTGGAGAAAGAATAGTTTCGTCAACAAATAATATTAGAAAAACTGAGTATTAAGATGCCGAAAATAAAATAAAATTACACACATCCTACACCATGCATAAAATCAACTCAAAATTAAATATTTAAGTGTAAGACCTGAAACTGTAAAACTCTTAGAAGAAAAATATAAGAAAAATGCTTTAAGATATTGGTTTTATCAATTATTTCTTGTATATAACACCAAAAGTGTTGCCGGTAGACGGTATCTAAATTACCGGTGGTGAATCTGTATGGGTCTGCAGCAATCTCAATTATTTCCTCCTCAGAAGAAATAATTTGACTGAGGGGCATAAGGCAGAAAAAGAGACCAAGACAAGTTTTATAGCAGGAGTGTGTAAGTTTATTTAAAAAGACTTTATAATATAAAAGAAAGGAAAGAAAAATATACATAGAAGAGACCCAAGTGGGCAACTTGAAGGTCTAGTGTGGTGCTTAATCTTGATCCCAGAACTTTATAGACTGACCCCTTTCCCAGGATGCTTCCCTTAGGGTGGGCTGCCTGCATGTGCAGAGCCCTCCTTACCCTTGGGAGGAGAGCATGAGCAGTGTGTTTAGGAAGTTGTATATGTGCCCATCTGAAGTTTTCTTCCCTTTTCTGGTGGAGTATACACAAAACGTCATACCTGCCATTTTGTCTCTTAATGCACATGCTCAGGAAGTTGCTTCTGCCTGAAATCTGCATTCAATTAACACCTTAGGGCAACAGGCATAGATCATCAGGAAATGGCCTCTCCCTGGTGCCAGCTGCCAATTTATCACTTTCAGAGAAGCAATGTGATGATCACTGAACCATCATCTGATATTCCTAGTGGGTGGGGGACAGTCCTCTCCTGCCCCACTTATGCTCATCTCACTACCTGTAAAAAAACAAAAACAAAAACAAAGCAACAACAACAACAACAACAAACCAGAAGAAGAAGAAGAAGAAGAAGAAGAAGAAGAAGAAGAAGAAGAAGAAGAAGAAGAAGAAGAAGAAGAAGAAGAAGAAGAAGAAAAGACAAATGGGACTACACAAACTAAAAAGCTAATGCTCTGCAAAGAAGACAATCAATAGAGTGAAAAGAGTGTCTACTGAATGGAAGAAAGTATTTATAAACCATATATCTGATAAAGGTTAAATCTAAAATATATAAAATAATTTACAGAACTTAGCAAAAAAACAAATAATCAGCAAAGTACATGAATGGACATTTATCCAAAGGAGACATACGATTGGCCAACATTTGTATAAAAAGATGTTCAACTTCATTGAGATAGTTTGGATATTTGCCTCCTCTAAATGCCTTGTTGAAATTCGATCTCCAGTATTGAAGGTGCGGCCTAGTGGGAGGTGGGGACATACCCCTCATAGATGGTTTAGTGTCCTCTCAGCAGTAAATAGTTGTCACTCTAGTAGTTCACATGAGATCTGATTGTTAACAAGAGTTTAGGACGTCCCTCCTTACTCTATCTCTGGGTTTCCTCTCTTGCCATGTGATATATTGACCTCCTTTTCTTTCCATCATGAGTTAAAGCTTCCTGAGGTCCTAATCAGGAGCAAATGTTGGTGCCATAATTTGTGTACAGCCTACAGGACTGTGAACCAAGTAAGCCTTTTTTCTTTATAAATTATCCAGTCTCTGGTATTCCTTTACAGCAACGTAAAAGGGAATAATCCAGTCACTAATCAAAAGAAAAATGCAAATCAAAACTATAATAAGACATTATCTCATGCTTGTTACAATGATAATTATTTAAGAAAATGACAGCATGATAATCTCCATATGTGTAGGTGAAGAAGTTGGAACCATTGTACCCTGTCAGGAAGAATGTAAAATGGTGCAGCCCTATGAAAAACAATGTAGAGATTTCTCAAAACAATTAACATCAGACTTACCTTATAATCCATCAATCTCGGTTATTTATAATTTTCCAAAAGGTTTAAAATTATAATTTTGAAGAGATATCTGCATTCCCATATTCATTGTAGCATTTTTTAATAATAGCCAAGATATAGAAACAATCTAAATGTCCACAGGCAGGTGAGTGGATAATGAATATGTGACATATTTATAAAGAAATATTATGCAACTATAAAAAGAAGTAAATCCTCCTGTATTAGTCATGGTTCTCTAGAGGGACAGAATTAACAGAATGTGTGTGTGTGTCTGTGTGTGTATATATATATATGTGAGTTTATATATATAATATATTATTATATATTTGTATTATTTATATAAATATTTATATAATATATTATATTTTATATCTCTATTTACATTTTATTATATATATTTATATATAGGAGAGTTTATACACACACACACACACACACACATATATATATATAAGGGAATTTATTAAGTATTAACTCACATAATCACAAGGTCCCACAATAGGCCATCTGCAGACTGAGGAGCAAGCAGAGTCAGTCCAAGTTCCAAATCTGAAGAGCTTGGAGTTCAATGTTCTAGGGCAGGAAGTATTCAGAACAGGAGAAAGATGTAGGCCATAAGATAGGCCAGTCTCTCTTTTCACATTTTTCTGCCTGCTTATATTCTAGCTGTGCTGGCAGCTGAATAGATTGTGCCCATCCAGATTAAGGGTGGGTCTGCCTTTCCCAGCCCACTGACTCTAATGTTAATCTCCTTTGGCATTCCCCTCACAGACACACATATTATCAATACTTTGTATCCTTCAATCCAATCAAGTTGACAACATTAAGCATCACACCTCCCATATGCACCAACATGGATGAAACTGGAGAAAATTTTTGCTGAATAAAATGAGCTAGTCACAGAAGAACAAATACTGCATTATTCTACTTATAGGAGGTAACAAGAATGGTCAAACACAAAGACACAGAAAGCAGAGTGGTGATTGTTAGGAGATAGGGAGGAAGGGAAATTGAATGTTGCTATTAAATAGACATAAAATTTCAGCTATGTAAGCTGAATAATTTCTAGATAGCTTCTGTATAACATTGTGCTTATTTATAGTTATCATACTGTATAATATATTTAAATTTTTAGTAAGAGCATAGATCTCATGCTGTTTGTTCTTACCATAATTTAAAAAATAGTTATAGAAGTCCCAAGTATTTTGACTTCTGGCTTCCAGGAAAGCTGTAATTGAATTATTAATCCTACAGTGAAGGAAGACAAGAAGGGAAGAGATAAAGTTTTATTGAAAATTTAGATTAACAAGAACACAAGCATCTGCTATGAACAGAATTATTAATTCTCTCTCACTCTCTCTCTCTCTCTCTCTCTCTCTCTCTTTTAGCAGTGTTGTCACTCTGTTGCCCAGGCTGAAGTACAGTGGTACCATCACACCTCACTTAGACTCAACCTTCTGGCTCAAGTGATCTTCCCTCCTCAGTCTCCTGAGTAGTTGGGCCAACATGCCTGGTTAATTTTTGTATTGTTTTTGTAGAAACAGATGTATTCTTCTATCAGGGTTTACTACTATTTCCCACACTTCATATATCACCTGTAAGTTCAGAATTAATTGATAATTAAACCTGTAGAGTAAAAGATAAAGGTATCAAAATATTCTTATTAATACCAACTAAAACTGATTAGAAATTGTGGATTAGATATAGATCACAGTTAAATATTTTTGTAATATTCATTAATAATTAAAGGACTGAACCTAGGAAATCCAAGCAAAGGAGATTTTGCATCTACAGAGAAGATATACTCAACCTGGAATTATTTTTGCCTTTTTTTTATTCCTATTACCAGGGACAGGGAGAAAAAAAATAAGCTTCTTGACTCATCGCTAGAAAGATTTAGAATTTGAACCACCAATCTTGTGAAAGCAGTAAGATAATATAAGTGATCATGGAGTGTAAAGTTACCAATACAAATATTGGGCCAGATGAGATCGACTTTACAAGAAGGAAAAAAAAAAAAAAAGAAAAGTGGTTTCCTCTACACCAGAGAAGACAGAATCAGCTAAGGCCAAGTTTAGCCTGGCCAAGGGCAGTGAACCTAACTGTCAAAGGTCTGTGTGAGTCATAAGATGAGAAGTTATACAAAAAATAATAAATCAGCTTTAATAATGTTAGTGGAGGAAAAACTGCTTTCTTTGTAAACTCATAGTGACTAGTATCCCAGTAAAGGTGTTCAACACATTTTTTACTCTTAGTGGCAAGGTCAGAGATCATTGTCCTGTTGAAAGAAAAGCTGAAGTTAGGAAGCCATTGACAAGAATGTTAACAGTAAATCCAGAAATATGAGTGTAGCTTTAAGAGAGTTTAAACACACACACACACACACACACACACACACACACACACACCATATTAATCTTTCAAATTTAAAAAATATTTTCAAATCCACCTAGAACATTCTTCAGACAGTATCTTCAAAATGGCATTACCTACGAGTAATCACTTTTAATTGCTTATTTCCTAAGAAGTTTTTCCAGATAATTAAGTTGCCAAATTTCTCAAGATTTTTAGGTTTCCAGCAATTGTACTTAGTATAATAAAAAAGGAAATTTCAGGAAATTGAACTGTAGGACAGTGGAGATAATTTAAAAATCAAAGGAAGGGGAGAATGAGTATTTCTCTGAAAATTGTTTGGACATAAATGAATAATTATTAGACCAAGAACAAGGATCAATTATGTCACATTCATCTAGTGACTGTCAATCTGCATTAAGAAGGTCTCCAGTATAATTTGTTGTCTTAAATGTTGATTCAGCATTTATATGTAATCCTGCTCCTGAATCAATTCTGTTAAAGCAGAATTGATTTTGGATTTGCCCTTTTATAAAAGAAACATGAGCTTAATTTCAGTGAAAAATTCTGCTTTTCTGCATGTAATCCTGAGCCTGAAGCAGGTCTCTTTTCGAAACTATGCCAAATCTTAACACAGTGGATTTTTAACTTTCAAGGTCTTATTTTAATTAAAGTTGAAAAAGAGCTTTCTCTTTTTAGATTTTCTTGTCTGATTGATTCTTCATTGTCTAACTACCACATAGAATTATTTATGAAATTTTTCAGGCAATGATTGGATTCATTTCACCCTTTCTTACCTTCTAACTCTAATGTATACATTCTTTATTGAAGATTAAGACTGTGGAAATGCACATTTATCTAGTAGCTAAATAAAGTGTGCATTCAGTTCTACCACCTCCTAAGTACTCATCACCTTGGTGAACTCAACTTATCTCATGTTATCAACCATCTGTTAACCCCCATCACTAAAGGAAACCTCAAAATATTTTGTAATCACATCTTTGGAAATAGCTTGAATATATATCCTTTTAAAACTCCTGTTATTATTTCAGACTTACCACAATCAAGTTTAAGAATGCAAAATCATGAAAACTATATGCTCCTATCGGAGTCATATGTTAACAAATCAAGAGAATAAATAGAACAAAAATAAAGATTTATGTTTATAAAATTAATACATAATAATATATCTAAAAGTGTGTGCTAAAGTTGGACATTTATCTATGGTAAAGCATTTAACGGATACCTGTGGAAAAAAGTGAAGTTCATGCCTCATGCACTATACCAAAATTCTGGATAAACTACTTCTTACCTTAGAAAAGAAGGATAAGTAAGCTATTATATATAAAAATATCAGCAAAGTATTTTGTTATTTAGGAGGAAGAACAATTCCTTCATTTTGAAAATATAAGTTGAAAACAAAAAATTGTATAACATGTGAATGTACACCAAACAAAATTTAAAACTTAAAAATAAATCTATAAAGTCTATTTAAAAATTAAAACCCAATGCCTGGTAACAAATAAAATTTATAAAGTTAAAAGGAAATGATAAATTTTAAAAAATGACATTTATTAACAATGGTGAAAGACCTCAGTGTAAATGCCGAATTCAAAAGCTTATAAAAAAGAATAAATTCACTAACTATAAATTGGATAAAGAACCTAAACAGAAGATTCATTTGAGAAATAACAACTGCAGGAAAATGTGTTGAGCTTTAATTACAGGACAAGGACTATGCTAATAGCTTAACCTGAATTGTTTTATACTGTCCTCAGAAAAAGTCTGTCGTTGCTACTAATGTATGATTATTAGCATTAATGCCATCACTAATTCTCATAATTACATAATTCATAAAAATGCAAGTAGGCAATATATTTTGTTCCCAACAAAGTAATTAAAAAGTTACAAATATTTTAAAATAAGGTTTTTTTTTTTCACGTATCTGATTGACAAAACACAAAAATTATCCAAACTTCATTTTGAGGTAAATGTACACATGAGGAAAGCATTCCTTCATTTTCATTGTTTCTGATTGTATACAAACTTTCTAGAGTCTCATTTGAGTGAGTAGAAAAAGATGGGCTGGGAATTTGCATATTACAACTATAAAATATTTATCAAAAGAAGAGAATCTTTGCAGACAAAGAGTACTCATTAAAAAAGAGTTGAAATATTTACATATTATAACATGAAAAATTTGAGACTTGAGATAACCTCCTCTTAGTAGCATTTTCTCTGAGCTTACAAAGCATATCAGTGTCTATACAGAGAATATTTATCAATTAAAAGATTATCATCTACAAAAAGACAATTAGTCTAAAATGAAAGCTTAAATAATATTGTCACCAACTTAATTTTTTTAAAATGAGACCATATAATAGACTAATTACATATATATATACACACACATATATATAAAACAATAATAATTAGAACCTTTTTAAAATTATTTTCAGGAAAAGACTCAAGATATAGTATTAGAGACATTTTAGTGTAAGAAAATGATTAAAGTATATGACCATGTGCTAAGAATAGTCAAAGTGCTTTTATTTTTTGATGATCATAAACAGGAAGATTATAAATTTTGCTTTCATGTGAATTTATATTTTTTAAAAAAATATTTTTTGAAAATTATATTTGAATAAAATATTTTATGAGTATATCAAAATAATAAAATAATCATTGATAATTATAATGTATATATATTTTAAATAGAATGTTATTTTTAATTTTTCTTTTTACTATCAAACCTATTCTGTTTAGGGTGATTAACTATGCAGTATATCATTTCACCCACTAAAAGTGACATGCTTCAGTCCATCTGGGATGAAGTTCAAGGTTGATGTATGCAACATGACCTAAAAGGTACACAATCAACCTTTATAAAATTATACAAATAACTGTGATAGGTTTTTTTTACCATTGTGTTTAACAACATGTTTGTATGTATACTAGTTTTTGGATTGTTTTATTCTTCTGGAGTCACCCCGTTCTAAGAAAGCAGCAAAAGTCAGTTGGCCAAAAGAAAACATTTATTATACAGACATAGATAATTACAATATATCATCCCAGAATTATATTTATGTCAGCTATGTTATATAACAACAGTAATTTGCATCTGTAGGACGTTTAAGTGGTTTAAACATTTTATCTACACACTCCTTGATTTGGCCTTCCAACTCTGCAGAAGAGAGAGCACATTTGACTCATCTTTAGAGAAAAGTAAATTGAGATGGAGTTTAAACTAATTGCTCAATGTCAGCCTTGAGCTGAATGTAGCTTAGATCTTCTTTTTCCAAATTAATTGGCTCTATCTTTACAACACATACTTTCTCACTGTTTCCATATAGTTAAATAGAGGAAGTTTTCAAAATTTCTAACACCAAAGTTACAGTTTTTGTACTTGTGATTGAAAGTTTTATCATGCAGGTCATAATTCTTCATTAAAACATGGATGAGTAAAAACTACAATTAAGATGTACTTTTCTGGTCTCCTGAGATTCTCTAGGTATTTTCTTTTATTGGTATATGTACAGATACTTAAGACACTTACAACAATGCAGTCTTTTGAGAATTCTATGCCATCGAGATTGACATAAGAAAAAATGTTTTCAAGTTTGACATTTATAACTTATTTGATGATACTGCCATTCTACGTAAAAATAAATTAATTAATGGCACAACTATTCTTACTGAGACTAGCTGTTACTTCCTTCATTCATCTTCTGTCCACCTTTGGAATACTTTGACTTCTGCCTACAGGGTCAGCCCAGTCATGGTCTCTGTGACCGAAGTGATCACAGGCAGAAGGGATTTAGCAACGCCCAACATTCAGGAACTTGATTTTAAAATATTTTTTGAACACAATATATCCTTGCTCATACTTTGTCTTG